AAGGGGCTAAATATTTTACCACATCCTTGAAAACGATCCAATCCATAGTAAGGAGATAAACCTTGATATAAGAATAAAAAGTCAGAGTGCAGGGTAGCAACGATGAAACATATAACTTTCCTCTAGTTCTTAAATGCTTCCCCCCCCTCCCCCACCACTATCATGATCCCAGCTCTACCTTACAAATCTGGCTAGACCAGAGGACATACATTGGTACAGATAGCAACTGGAAACACAGGGAATCCAGGACAGATGATCCCTTCAGGATCAGTGGTGAGAGTGGCAATGCCTGGAGGGTGGAGGGAATGTCAGGTGGAAAGGGGGAACCTATTACAAGAATATACATATAGCCTCCTCCCTGGGGGATGGACAGCAGAGAAGAGGGTGGGGGGAGACGAAGGACAGTGTAACATATGACAAAATAATAATAATTTTTGAATTATGAAGAGTTCATGAGGGAGGGTGCAAGAGGGAGGGAGGGGGAAAATGAGCAGCTGATATTAAAGGCTCAAGTAGAAGGCAAATGTTTTGAGAATGATGATGGCAACAAATGTACATATGTGCGTAACACAATGGATGGATGGATGGATGGATTGTGATAAGAATTGTAAGAGCCCCCAATAAAATGCTTTTTTTTAATGGGATAACGATCCCCATGTGGGCAACACCGAATGACTTAATCCATCTTAGACTAAAGCCAGAGTTGAAACAGTAGGAGATGTGGGCTTTCAAGCAGCTCCCTAAACAACCTAAATCATCAGCTACTGTGCTTAAAGGCTATCATTTGGGCTAAAGCTGGTAATAATGGTTTAGTTCTTTTTTTCATGCATTGAAGTATATGTCTGCAAAACTTACTGAATTGGAGGATTCAATAAAAATGAGACTGTTTATAAACATACGATGCAATGGTAAGTCTGCATAATGACTAAGTCTCTTGCAAAATAATTTAGTGGTGGGCATGATGAGTTCTAACCTGGGCTTTGGGTTTTCATTGGGCAGAAACAAACCATCCTCACTCATTGTGAGTTTTTTTCCCCCTTCCAGACTCTAAGTAGTTTACACAATAAATAGTTATTTCCATAGAAGAAATGGCCAACATGTCTAAGCCCTAAAGTTAACCTGTTATTATGGTTAGAAATCAAGGTTGCCATTCTTCCAAATTTTCACAGCCACACACTTTCTTTTTTTTTTTTAACCTCGCTAATGGTAATGCAAGGGCAAACATAGTTTCTTGACCTCTTAACTGAGGTAAAACCAACAAACCAAGGTATTTCACTGGGCAGTGACCATTGCACAGAAGCATGACAGCAAATGCATTTAATGACAGGACGCTACAAATTCCTTTTCACAGGAAGAATTTCCAGCAATATTCTATCTGTCAATTGCCTGTGTTCTCTTATGAAGGACTTTGATATGAAATATTGATTTGAAAACGATACATTTCATAGTATATCAATGACAGGAAATAATACGACAGAAACTTTTAGAACGCAAATTCCTTTTCTACAACCCGAACTGAAAGTCAAGAGAGCATCTCTCGGTTCCTGCTTCTGTCCGGGAGAAGAGCTCCTTTGCACATAGCTTTCTGCCACTTGACATTGCTTCTTAACTGTGATGGGCCCATTTCTTAACCTTTTTAAAAAGGAACATTGGTCATTCATCACCTTGTGTTGTCAGAGCCCAGTCAATTTTGATTCATAAAGACCCCAGATGACAGAGTATAACAGCCCCAGTGAATGTCCTCGCTCTACTCTTTAAGGGAACAGACTGATAAGTCTTTCTCTCATGATGTTGCTCAGCAGGTTCAAATCACCAGCCTTTCAGATAGCAGCCAAAGGTATACCTGTTTGCACCACTGTGCTCCATGGAGCCTCCTTAATAAACCCATAGCCCTTCCCAAGGCACTGCAAACCTGGTTTTCAACTAAGAGGCAGTGACATCCTCTAAGAGGACATCTATTTGGACCTATTCTCTGCCAAATGTGTACTCGGGGTTGCTGTTGTGTGCTAGAGGCAATTCCGACTCCTAGCAAGCCGAGAGAGCAGAGTAGAACTTTGTCACTGGACTTCATGCTTACCACAGCACACGGCCACGTTTTTCTCCTGTGGGATAGACCGTGGGTTCAAACCACTGACCAAGCACTTAACCATTGTGTCACCAGGGCACCTCATGTTGTTTTAGTGACCCCTTTTAACTCTGCAACAAAAGACATTCTTTTTTTTTAAATCATTTTATTGGGGGCTCGTACAATTCATACATACACAATCATACATACATCCATTGTTTCAAGCACATTTTTACATTTGTTGCCCTCATCATTCTCAAAACATTTGCTTTCTACTTGAGCCCTTAATATCAGCTCCTCATTTTCCCCCTCCCACCCGATTCCCCCTCCTTCATGAACCCTGCATAATTCATAAATTATTATTTTGTCATATGTTACACTGTCGCCCACTTCTCTGTTGTCCATCCCCCAGGGAGGAGGTTATACGTAGATTCTTGTAATTGGTTCCCCCTTTCTACCCCACCTTCCCTCCACCCTCCAGGCATCGCCACTCTCACCACTGGTCATGAAGGGATCATCTGTCCTGGATTCCCTGTGTTCCCAGTTGCTATCTGTACCAATGTACATCCTCTGGTCTAGCCAGATTTGTAAGGTAGAACTGGGATCAAAATAGTGAGGGGGAGGAAGCATTTAAAAACTAGAGGAAAGTTATATGTTTCATCGTTGCTACCCTGCACACTGACTGGCTCATCTCCTCCCCACCACCCTTCAGTAAGGGTTGCCCAGTTGCCTACCGATGGGCTTTGAGTCTCCACTCTGCACTCACCCTCATATACAATGATATGATTTTTTATTCTTTGATGCCCAATACCTGATCCCTTTGACTCCTCGTGGTCACACAGGCTGGTGTGCTTCTTCCATGTGGGCTTTGATGCTTCTGAGCTACATGGCCACTTGTTTATCTGCAAGCCTTTAAGACCCCAGATGCTATATCTTTTGATAGCCAGGCACAATCAGCTTTCTTCACCACATTTGCTTATGTACACATTTATCTTCAGCGATCGTGTCAGGAAGGTGAGCATCATGGAATACCAATTTAATAGAACAACGTGTTCTTGCATTGAGTAAGTACTTGAATGGAGGTCCAATGTCCATCTGCTGCCTTAATACTAAACCTATAAATATATGCACATAGATCTATTTCAACATCATCCTATATAAATATATTTACATATGTACATGTCTGTATTTAGATCTCTATAAATACCCTTTGTCTCCTAGTTCCTTACTCTATTTCGTTTTAATTTCCTCTTGTCCCACTATCATGCTCCGCCTTCATTTGAGTTTAAGAAATTTCTCTCAGTTACATTGCCCTTGCTGAATCCCTACCAGGCCTCTCACACCTTCCTTGCCACTAATTTTGGATCACTTGTTGCTCCTCTGTCCCTGGGTTGGTCAATACCACCTCCTTACCCCTCCCTCCCCCTCTCCCATTTGACCCTGGAACCATTGTCCCACTGTTTTCTCCTCCAGACTATTCATCCAGCCTATCTTATCTAGATAGATCTGTAGAGATAATAATATGCACCAAAAAACAAGGCATAGCAAGATAGACAATGAATGAAAACACAGTGATGACAATAAAAAAGAAAACCAATGACCCATAAAAGAAAAAAACAGAAAACGAAAACATTTTAAAAAGAAAGAAGAACCTGTAAATAGATCAAGGTCTGATTTTTGAACTCTAGGTGTGTCCTCCAGTCAAGTCCGATGGAGTGCTACACTCTGGCCCCACAGCCTATCCATTGTACTCTCTCGGGAGCTCCCTGCTCTGCTCCCCCTCACCCTTTAGTGTTTTACCTCGGTGTCTCGGGGTCAGTCCGGGCCAGTCTCGACACTGAGTCTGCAGTGTTGTCCCCCATAGGGCCCTGGGCCAGTGAGGGACGGCGTGTCTCATAGTGGGATCAGCCGTATGGTCCACTCTGTGCATTGGCTATTCAGAGCGGGGAAATCATCCTCCAGGCCTGGTGGGCCAAGATGTGCTCCACTCTCTCTTCTTCCCCATTCATTTGCTCCCGTGTGCTCAGATCAGACATGCCCCTCTCCCTGAGCTGCAACTTCAGTGCAGTCTTCTAAAGTAAATTCTTCTGTGGGGAGGCGTAGCTGTCCATGTAGCTGGTATGGGGTCTGAGCCCTCAGGCCTCTCCCCTGGTTCCCCTCTCCTTGTTGGCATGCTGCATTCGCATCCCAGAACACTGGATTTAAGTCTGGTCCCTCTTTCCCTGAGGAGACACAAACAATACCCTCCCCTTGTTGGGTCAGTGCCCTCCCTATTCCCCCACAACACATCCAAGGGACATTCTGAAAAGGTAAAACAGCAAGGGCTTAACTTGTGTTTCTTGGGGAGTTGTTGGTTTTGGGGTCTTTTTTCAGCCTCGCATTCAGAGTGAATAGTTTTATACATTTGTGTTATGGGAAAGCTGCAATGTATAAAAGGCAAGACTTGAAATAATCCTAGTAGACAAGCATATGAGAACAGGCACAGTCTGCTGAAATGTGGTGTTAAAGTTTACAAATTGAAAAAGATGACAGCAAATAAAACTTCACAAAAGGAATATTAAAATTGTACTCAAACTCTTTCTTGGTACACTTTAGAAGCAAAAACACAACAAAATTAAAACTCATGAGCCCAGAGAATCATCTATGTCAAGTCGTTTCTCATTATTCCTATCATTAATAAAATAACTCAGTGACACAATTCCACTGTTTCATGCAGACTTTAAATTTAACTGAGGATTTTAAAACAATCACAAATGAGTTTCCATCATTCCCTTGTTCAAGCCTTTAGAACCCAACTTCAAAATCAATTTGCTGAAATCTAGTTTTCTAGCTTAAGTAGACCATTTTGACCAACTGTAAAAAAAAAAAAATCAAACAAATGAATTTTAGCTTATAAACTTTACCAAAATAAAAGACAAAGTAAGTGGTTTCCTACCGATGGTTGTAATAACAGTACCAGCAAAGAAGAAGGAACTTCCCAAATCCCAGTGACTGATTTGATTGGAGGTGTTTCCTAAAGGTATAATCCCTGCATTTATTGCTGCCACTATTTGCTGCAAGTTTAAAAAAAGAAATGGATCAGTGTACATGAATCACATGGAAGCATCAAACAGCATTTATTCTACCCCAGAAATGGCTAATTAGACAGAGAACTGGTTTTCATGTTTAGATTTTTCATTTCAAAGACACAATAGAGATTTAAATTTTATGCCAAAGAATTTATATGTTAAGAAATTTATACTTCAAATCAATGACTGTATCCATATGAAAATTACAGTATTGTACAATATACATTCGCCTGCTCATCCACTGATCTATTTAATACCTTATTTGAATAAACAACTAAATATAGCAATTATTGTCTAGTTAGCCACACAGTTAAATTGCAGATAATAAACTACATTTTAAATAATAAAGATAAGCAGCTTCAAAAAATTGCTTTGGAAGTACTAAGCATTTCAAATTTTAAACAAATGCATCCAAGTCTGGGTTGCTCTAACTGTAAAGATTATGAGTCAATAGAGTCCAATAAAATGGGCTAGGATGAAAAGCAAAAGCAACTGCAATTCAGTATCAAGGTTACATCAATCTATTCCTATCTGGATTCTTGGACTCTCTACCGTCTCTCTACCTAATCTCTGGTGATGGGAATCTTCCAAGGCATTAGATAACAAGCAGTCAACAACATGGACCACTAGGATCTGGGGCTACTTAGAAAATATGGGGAAACAGAAAGATGACATTAAAATCTCTACTTTGAGGCATATATGACTTTACCAAGGCACTTAGATAATCAGACTGAGTGGGTGGAGGGAGTTTGGGAAGCACAAACATAAGAGAATATGCCAGGGGGAAGCACAGTAAAGGAGAGAGACGCCAATTGTTCATTTGGTGCAGAAGTAAAGATCAAGGGAAGAGAAGTTCTTGGTTAAAGTTGCAGCCCATTGGAAAATGGTGGCTAATTACACTCTGGAAATGGAGGCACTCCCCAAGGAAGTTACTGTCATTTAAAAATAAATATACCTGTCTTAAGTTATAAATTAAATCTTCAATAGCTATGTGCAAAGCTCACTGAATTGTATTGTTATTATTTACACTACCAGTGATATGTGCTCTTGCTAACTATTGAATTGTATCCTCCAAAATATGTTGTGTAAATCCTAAACCCTATACCTGTGGTTCTAAACCCATTTAGGAATGAGTTTTGTTTCTCATGTTAATGAGCACAGTATTAGTGTAGGGTGTGTTTTGCGTCAATCTCTTTTGAGACATAAAGGAAGATATAAAATAAGGAAATAAGAAAGATTATCAAGGGTTCATGAGGGAGGCGGGAACAGGGAGGAAGGGGGCAAAATGAGGAGCTGATGCCAGGGCCTTACATGGAGAGCAAATGTTTTGAGAATGATGAGGGTAACGAATGTACAAATGTGCTTTATACAATTGATGCATGTATGGATTGTGATAAGAGTTGTATGAGCCCCCAGTAAAATGATTTTTTTTTTAAAAAGAGAGAAAGAGATGAGGGAATACTGTTGGCATTCCCCATGAAGATCACCACAGAGTCAAGGAACAGAAGCTGAAAAAACAGACTCCGTCCCCAGAGCTGACAGGGAAAGTCTTCTCCTAGAGTCAGTGCCCTGAACGCAGACTCCTAGACTCTTAATGAGAAAAGTTTCCGAGGGTTAATCGATCGCAATGATCAATGTATTAGCCCACCCCACCCCCATGGGGGCAAACAACAAGTGTGGGTGGAGGGAGACAGTGTAAGACATGAAAATAATAATAACTTATTATTTATCAAGGCATCTCAAGGCTGGGAGGGTGTTGAAGAAGGGGAAAAAGAGGAGCTGATTCCAAGAGCTCAAGGAGTAAGAAAATGTTTTGAAAATAATGATGGTAACATATGTACAAATGTACCTGATACAATTAATGTGTGGATTGTTATAAGAGCTGTAAGAGCCCCCAATGAAATAATTTTTTAAAAAGCAAGGTTCCTGTTTGCTCAAATAATCCATTCGTAGTATTTCTGTTTTAACAGTGCCTGATAACTAAGCACAAAGAGAGCAATAAAAAGCTCCCTAATTCAAAAATGGAGAGCTAACTCAATAAAGTATCCACTCCTGGTAATAATCCTCTATGCGGCTACATCAGTGAAGTTTATGCTCGGTAGTTCTCATTCATAGGTAGTTTTATTCTCTATGTAGTTTTTCCTTTTCATTAGCATATTTACTTAGCTATAACCTTATGCTTGGGTACATCATTATCAAATACATCTTATTATAAAGGATCATTTGTGTTTGTTCATTGTTTTATATCTATATATTCCTTCCAGAGAGATTGCTAAAAATAAAATCACATTAAAAATTACAAGTATTTTTAAATACCTACTTTACAACAGTTAATAACTATCCAAGAAGGGTATATCAATTTATAATCGCCCTACTCCTGGACAATTGACAGATACTTAGCAATATGGCCTATGATATTTATGGTATTTTATGTTTACGGATATATACCACCTACATTTATTTATTTCTTATTATTAAAAATGTTAAACATTAATGTGTCCTTGTATTCTATTAAATGCACATGACTATACGTATACATACATATGTACAGCATATAGTGAAGCTAATTTTGGGGTGATTCTATTTATCTGCCTCTTATTGTAAACTTTAATAACAGGCAAGGTAGATATCTCCTCATCATCTTTCTTTTAAAAAACAGCCATTGCCACGATTGTCACTTTCATAGACTTAAGATCTTTCTACTAATGGAAGATATGTGAAATCTGTAAATTAATTAAAAATACGTATACAGTCAAACTTCCCATGAATGGACAAGGTATGAATATCCATTTGTGGAGTCCTGTTTAAGATCCTAAAATAGAGTGTTCTTATATTTAAATGGGTCTGGAATGTTGTAATAGGTAACAGAGTTCTCCTGTTTGAAATGACGCCCAGCTGTTACTGTGGCATCTACAACTATGTGTCGCCACTCTCCGAACCAGCCTTTCTCAGACTTTGTCTCAAAAATCTTTACAGTCTTAACTATTGAAGACCTCAAAGCACCTTTATGTAGGTTATAACTACTGAAATTTTCTGTATTTGTTTGATTGTATAATGATTTTAATTATTATTAATTTTTATAAAATAAAAATAAATCCATCACATTAATAGCCTACTTTTATTAACGTAATTAAATTGTATAAGAGAAACAAATATTTAGTGAGAAGGCATTATTCTGTTTGTTTGTAAGTCCCCAAATAAATGACCGCTAGATTATCATATACATTTGTGCATTTAATCTGCTGCAATATCACATCATGTCACCTCCATTATACTCCTGGGAAAATTAAAGTGGTAAAGGCAAAATCATCTTAGAATTATGAAAATAGTTTTAACTTATCAAATCTCTGGGAAATTTGGTATCAAGTATCACATTCCAAGAAATATCACTCTATGTTGAACTCATTATTTATGGTGAGTTATCTTATTTTATTTTTCACTTGAAATACTCCAATAAGTAAACATATAGCTTAAAGTAATATTTCAATCACTTTATTCCAGTATCCCAATAGCTATGTTCATTGCTTTTCATTTCTTATTGCATTGGCCAGTACCCAGAACAATGTTTAAAAACAAACAAACCAAACAAGAAACTAATGATAGGCAATGGCTTTACTTTTACCACATAAAATACTCAACAGTTTGGGCATTTTATCATTAAATAAACTGGCAGTATCTCACAAAAAAAGGGTATAGAACTAAATCAATTATAAGAACCAGCAAATAGAAATAACTATTAATAAAAGTTTATAAAATAAAATGTCTTGGGAAATATTTTAAAATAGCAGTATGTGTACAAATGATGTTTCTCTTTAAAATATAGAGAAATACAAAATAGCTGCTTAGGAACAAACTAAATATAAAATTATTGGTTCCCAAGAACTCTAGTGAATGCGTAGACTGCAGCTGAAGAAAGGTAATGCCACGCAAATATGAGGGATGCTCACAGTACTTCGGCTGCTACCAGTTACTCTGGGAGGGTTACTCTGGGAGGTCCGCCGCACAGACCCATTGCACACGAGGGTTGAGAAACAGGCACAGTCATCTCTAGTCTTTTAACTCTAAGCTAATGTGTCCAGTTAAAATCAGAGGAAGAATTTAGAATATAACTACATCAAAAGCATACTTTTACAATTTGCAAAAATCTCTTCAACACATTCACGTATTCAAAAAGTGTTCACCAAGTCCCTATGGTACTAGGCAATATGGAGACAATAACAAAGTGACAAAATGAGTAACGTGGATTTAGATGGGAAACGATAAGTCTTTAGACTTCTTCCCAGTAAGTACGATTATTTTCTTGACTAGAAGCAATCTACTTGTTGCAACAACATGATTTTAGAAAATCTTCATGCCTCCATCAGCATTTTAGCCTATTCCTCTGCTTGTCGACAATGAAATACGAAGTTTCCAAAACACTTAGAAAAGCAAATACAGACCTATAATCAGAAAAGAGCAGTGTTGGGCAATGTGTGGGTTGTAAATTGTTATCACAGACCTGTGATTATTGAAACAAAGGCTTGAAATGGGACTAAGAGTATGTCAAATAACCATGAGAATGAGTCTGCCATGAGGTCCTTTCTCAGGAATATGCTGGTGTATTTGTTTTCTCTTTTTTGTACAATATCTTGGTCAACATCAGCAGGAAACTGCCATGTCCTTGATCTGCTATGTCAGGGCATGTCAAGACCTAAAATTCTCCATCAACATCAACTCAAGCTATCAGGGCCCCCACCCAATATTTTCATAAGAAATGTTCCTAAATGCACCATTGTGTCCCTCAAGTAACATATTCGTGTCATCCACAATGAAAAATCACTTGTGAAATAAATGAACTTGCTTAGGATAAGGATAAGCTAAGGAGATGTGGGATGCTAGGGTTTCAATCTTAAGGTTTGGTGACCTAAAATGAGGCTCTTGGCTGGTGCGTTCAGCTGCTAATCGCAAGGTCTGCGCCTCTAACCCACAGACTGATCCTTGCAAGA